ATTTTTCAGAAAAAAAAAAAATTAAAATCCGGCCCGGACCGGGCCTGAACTGGCCGGGCCGGTTCACCATATGGAAGGCCCGGGCCCGGAACCGGGAACTACCGGGCCGGTTCGACCCGAATCGCCGGTGGACCGGGCCACCGGGCCGGGCCGGTTGCCACAGTGGCCGGGCCGGGCCGGTTCCGGGTCGGGCCGCCCGGCCCGAGTCCAGGCCTAATGTTAACTATACATAAATACAGGGACCAAATCTGTCATATGGCAAACTTAATGGTAACACATAAATGTACCTAATATTTATTAAATTATATAAATGGTCCAAGGGAACTTAAATGGAATATTTTCCAACATTCTCCCACTTGACCTTGAGATCATTTATACATAAGTTAAAGTAATTTTTTGGCCAAGAAAATTCATCTTACTCCATAATAATATCAAAGCAAACTAATACAGTCTAACGGATCAATATAACCCGGGATCCCCATTAATTATACTTTGACACTTCTTAAAGAGTATAATAATTAATATAAGCCAAATGACATTAAACTTAGGGTATTATGTTTGTCTATTAAAATAACTTTGTGTGCACAATGAAGAATAGACAAAACATACTTAGACCATCACCATCCATAATCTTTAAAAATAAATATTTTCTAGCATTCTTACCTTTTAAATATTGTTACATGATTAATTTTTAAATAATCTCAAAATCCGTTTATGGCTTTCAATCATCATCTTCAAATAATCCGTTTTTTTCTGGATCCTGCATTAATGTATTACATATGCTTTTCAAATAAACTTAAGATAATCTGGATTTATATTTTGATACCGGATTATTCTAACAAATAATCTATATTATTCAATGATAATTCTCTAAAAAATATTGTTACGTCACTAATTTAATCTCTTAATAATCCAGCAATGAGGATGCTCTTAGGGAGGAATTCTAAATCAAGTACTTGAATTTAATACATAAGATAGTTAATCAGGCACTGCGCTATAATTTCCTAAACAGGATCTTTGATCAAGCCCATATTAGTGACATGTCTTTGAAAGATACTGGGTCAAAAGTCCTTTAGTGAGAGGATCTGCTAGCATATGATTCGTGCTAATGTGTTCGATACAAATCTCGTTTTCCTCCACTCTTTCTCGAACGAACAAATATTTTGTATCGAGGAACAATCCCGCTCCACTCGAACTGTTATTGTTTGAGAAGCTCACGGCCGCGGAATTGTCACAATAAATCCTTAGTGGTCTTGAGACGGAATTTACTATTTTGAATCCTTTGATAAGATTCCTTAACAACATTCCACCCATGACATGTTGCGTTGTACACTGCAACATATTCAGTCATCATTGTTCAAGTAGTCGTTGTAAGTCTTTGCTTGTGGCTTTTCCAAGATATTGGCCCGCCTGACATCAAGAAAATGTATCTCGAAGTAGACTTCCTATCGTCTTTGCACTTAGCAAAGTCAGAATCGGAATATCCCACCACTTCTAAATTATTAGACCTCCTCCCTATGCCATACATTCTCAAACTTGAATCGTCGCTTGCGATTTACCTCACAAGTCGGAAATAAACGAAGGAACAAGGCTAGATGGTCACTCGGGACGCCCTCTAAAGATTCTGCCTCGGCTTCTCCAAACTGGTCCAACCAACTATCAGATGCAAGAATTTTGTCCAACTTTTCTTAAACCCAATTCGGGGTTCCACGCCAACATTCCCAGGTCAATTGGTAACCTTCAAAAGAAAAATCAAGGAGCCCGCTAGCCCAAACTGCCTCCTGGAAACCTTCTAGAAGTCACGGTGGATGAGGTACTCTTCCTGTCTTCTCTGAAGCATAGAGGAGATCATTAAAATCTCCATCACCACCCACGGAAGAGAAGATCTCAAACTGAGTGATCGCAACAACTCTCATGACTCCCTTCTTCTCTGACGCTTTGGACACCCGTAGAAACCAGTAAACCTCCAAACAGGATCATCCACCTCCAAACTTATCCATGCATCAATATAATCAGAAGAAGAGTCCTAAATGTGAACTTGGACACAATCCCCCCAAAGGAGAGCAAGACCCCCCTATGACCCACACTGTCAACGCCAAAACAGTTTTTCAAACTGATTTTTCTTCCCACTTCTAACACCTTTGACTCCTTTGTAAATGTATTCCTAAAAAAACTAAATTTGGCCTCTTCATGTGGACTAAATCCACCAGCACCTAAACTGCCAATGGGCTCTCAAGCCCCCGACAGTTCCAACTAATGCAACTCATAATTCTAGGCGGCCTGTGCTCCAGGACCAGCCTTTAATCCGTTTTTTGGCTGAATTTCCATATTCGTGCCCATATGCAGTATTTGACATTGTTGTTCCATCCCATGGGCTTTCCTTTTCTTTTGCAACCCTCTTGTACTCCAAGATCCATCCTCCTGTCAAACTGGCAAGTCCAACCCCTTGTCATTATGTTCTTGCCTCAACACCATTTGAGACCCGAGTTGCATCTCCAGCCATCCTTCGAATTGGTTCAGCGAAGGGATGGACATGTAAGGTGTGGAGCGGCAAAAACACTTCTTGAGAACAACACAACGAACTCGAACTGGAGTAGCGAGATTCAACAGATGGCGTACAACGGCGACAGACGACGATGGTGGAGGCGACTCAGATTTGTGAAAATCTAGATTTCCTTCTTTTTGAATTTTCAGACTAGTTTCTTGGCTAGATTTCTTGTAGTTGAGATGGATTTTTTTATATTTTGGGAGGAATCTCACTTAACTATGCTCAAATTTCTCAATGAAATCACCAAATGATGAATTACGGGGATCCAATCATATATTATTATGGAGAGATTGAGCTCAAAAGTGGAGAAAAAGATGAATAGTAGAAATGGGCATTATTAATGAATTAGGGTTTACAAGCTTCCAAGGGGAGTATACATAGGAAAATCCGGATCTGGTCTCTAATATGGGCATGACAGACCTGGTTACATAAGTGGACTGATAGTATAAAAAACTAATCTAGAACACCCGAATAATAATAATGCATAATAATGTAAAAGCTATCTACTGAGCGTAAGTGAGCTGCTGTCTGGACCTAATGGTCATGAGATCGGAGGTCTGATTCCACATACATTATCAGGTTTATTTTGAATATTTTAATGTTAAATGGTGTTTGATATTATAAATATGTGAAGTAAACATACCTGTGTTGCTTATTAACGCAAATCGAGACTGTTTAGTACGGAAATAATTTTGTCCTAAGTTTTAGCGTATATGGCCATATGGGCTAACATCGTTAGAAACGAGGAAAAGATCACCGTATTCAGGGCTGGTTTGCAACTGCTTAAAAAAGCACTTATCGACTTTTGGCTTAAAAAACACTTATTTACCAAACACTACCAATTTTTACTTTTCTCGGCTTTCGTGTGAAAAGTGATTTTCCCTTTTCTACTCCATCTGTCCCATTTAAAGGTTCTCATCCACTATTCTCCGGTTAACGTGCATTGTTCTTAATCTTTTACTTTATATATAAAAGGTTAATGAAATTTAAATTATTTTTTGCAGGTTTTGTAGTGGTTTTAATGTAGTTTCTGAATATGTAAATTTTATTTACTAAAAATAAATCTATTGATGACAGGAATCAGTTATTCAGTTCAATTAACTTTATGGTCAGTCAAACATCGTAAACCACGTGAGAATCTTAAAGTGGGACGGATGGAGTATTACACAAAAAACACTTATTTTACCAAACACTACCAACTTTTACTTTTCAAAATTACCTTTTTCTCAAACACTATCAACTTTTACTACTAATCACTTTTTCCAAATCACTCCAAAAGTGTTTTTTTAAGCACAAGGCTGCTTAAGGCTCTGTTTGCAAGTGATTGTGCTTAAATAAAAGCACTTTTTGGGAAAAAGTGATTAGTAGTAAAAGTTGATAGTGTTTGGTAAAATAATTGTTTTTTGTGTAATAGAAAAAATAAAAAGTAGATTCTACACGAAAACCGAGAAAGTAAAAATTGGTATTGTTTGGTAAAATAAATGCTTTTTTCTTAAAAAAAAAAAGGCAAACACACTTAAATTAATTGTTTGCAAAAAAGCCTAAATAGAAGGCAAGGCTGCTACAAAGCTGGTGTCTGGTGCAGTGGTGCCTACGAGAACGTCCCGTTAAGGCGCCTTCTCTTAAGCGCAACCCTAACATATAGCCCAACCCTCATCATCATCATTACCCCATGCCGCAAAGGCTCTCACCTACGTGGGGTAAGTGGGTCAGATCTACGCAGTCTTACCCCTGTACAAAAGCACAAACAGGCTACTTCGGGTGACCCAAAGTGAAAATCATGTCAAAATTTGCATGGATTGACCTCTGATTCATAACAAAGCACCGACAATTTAATGAGCTATTTTGCTTTATTCCATCATATTCCCAAACCAAAAATAGTGAGTCTTTGACTCCATAGCAAATGATGGAAATACATATAGCCCAGCCCTAAAATACTAAAATAATACCAAGTTAGGTTTTTCTTTTTTGAAAAAACTCTGAAATAGGTCCTCTATTACCAAAAGGTCAATTAAATCCTTTGCTCTTTTAAGTCAATCAACCAAGTCTATGGGTGACGGTTAAAAATAGCCAATTTGGCTAGCATGGTACTTTTACCTCTTCAAGACCTCAAGAATTTCAAAAATTATTGATGATTTCTTTTCTCCTCTTCGATTGAATCGGTTGTTTAAAGTCCCTTCGTAACTTTCGGCGAAACTGCAAAGTCGGAGCGAGCGGAAGAAAGAGCCAAAGACTTGTTGACGAAGTTGTTGAAAGACATTTCAAAAACATTTCTTAATGAGCTTACTAGTATGTTAGTAAAATATGGATGCCCTATTAGGAAAGGGCCCCCGTTCCGTTGCACCTAATGCACATGGGTCGGGTCTGGCCTGAAAGTCAGTATTGTTTATTGTATGAAACTGAAACACTTCATTATAGCCTATAAGTAGACACCCATTTTCATCTAAAAGTTGTATCTTTGTCTTACACAATTTCATATTTCTATTTACTAATCATTCATTCATTATTTTATTATCATTTTGAGTTTCTTTTTGTTCTGAAATCATCATCATTTGATATCTTGGGTGTGTTGCTTGCCATCTTGAATGATTGTGCATGCGTCTTTCCAAAATTTGTGTTTGCTATAGTTGGCACCTCATTTTTAATGTTCGTCATCTTTAATTTAATTTTCAGATTAGCGTGATTCTATGTAATGATGTAACATGCAAAGCAGATGTTTTTACATATTATAATTTGCATTACAATATCGGAGTGATAAAGATGAGACTGATGTCTCAATCGCAACAGCTACACTAAAGCACGTAAATGATTCTATCAGCATTGATCCTAACATGCTGGATGAGAACTCAGCTGAGTATGATCCTCAGTCTCAAAAATTTAATTTAGTTCCAGGTGATACTATCATAGCACTTGGCCGCTATAATGGAGAACAAAATGGGCTTATGGTTATTGCTGGGGAGTTTAGGTATATTGATGTGAGATCTGCTATTTGTGTTGATGTTTGGATTTGAAGATTAGTTTTATGAGTCCTGATCTTTGCTTGTTCTTTTTGCTTTTAATCATCCTTGTACAGTATTAATTTAACAGGATTGGATTGCCCAGAGCTTTTTAGAGCTGAGTTTGAAATTGTCAGAGTAAGGGCATACTTCTCATATACTTCTCATTTTGGTCATGTTGTGCATTGTGAACTGGAATACAGATAACCTAAATAAATTGCTAATTCAGTTTTTTCCTCACTTGAAGCTTAGTTTTCCAATGGCCGTACTCTCATTTGCCTAATAATTATAGGATGGACTATGGAGCTGTTGACGGGCTCTTCTAAAATTAACACTTGTAGTTCGCCTATATTATAATGTTGGATAGACTCGTTACCTTTAAAAAGCCATTTTTTTATATGCTAGCTGAAATGTTTATCCACACTGCCCTAGCACAAGATACTCTCACATAAACTAATTAAGAATCCAATCAGTTTCTCAGTATTTAATTTATTGATCTTATTTTTTGAACAATAGATGACATATATAACCCCTATTACCCATCCACCTCATGATTGCATATAAGTGTATCATTTAATTTTTATTCTAGATTTAACCAGGTCATGATTTCTTTTGAAGTTTTTTTCACTTCATGTGTTACTTCCTTCGTTCTTTTTTAGTTGCAATAGTCCACTTTGTACATTTGCCAATGCACACCTTGATTGTCAATATATCTTATTCTCTATTATTATAAAAAAAGTTAAAAAAAAACAGATTTTGAAAATTTGTAATGAGATGAATTGAGAAATGTTAAAAAAAATCTCATAAATTAATAAATAAAATGCACTCAAAGTAGAACACGTTGAATAGTGTAAAATTCAACATGTTCCAACTAAAAAACGGAGGATAGTATTTGTTTGCATCATTAACAATTTATTTATGTATATTTTGGTGATAGCATGGAATTGGGGGACCAATCATCAATCGCTATGGAGAAGTGATAGGAATTACCTTTTATTGTGCTTCACTCACGCCTTTTCTGCCAATCAACCTAATCTCATTGTGGTGGGAGCAGTTTAAGAACAAAGGGTATGCTTAAAACTATAATATATATACTATTTTGCTTTTATAAGATTGCGAATAAGACATGTGATTTGGGAAATTCATTACTTTATGTTAACTTTGTTTTATTAAATATTACTCGTAATAAATAATAATGTAATTAGAGGATTTAGTATTGAATTGCAAATAAATGGTATGCTTTTATAGTTTTATTAGATTGTGAACAGATATGATATCTATTCTTATCTATTCTTGTGACTTGTGACTGGTATTGAAGCCATTATTAGGTAGTTGTATGAAAAGCAATGTTTTTGCTAGATTTTAGATGTTGAAAAAAATTAACACGCAAGTGCCTAAGAAGTTTGCATAATGCACATCTAGGTGTGCCTTTTGCAAACAATTGAAACAAGCATAATTTTAAACAAAATGAGCACCGTCATGTGCAATTTAGCATTTCTAGAAACAGGAAAAAAATCAAAACAATGAAGAGCACAAATTCGAGCAAACAATATGAAATAAAAATATGAACTGCCTATCCTTCAAAGGAAATAAAAATCTTGGTGTACACATTTTTGTACACGTTACGTGTAATTTCCAAAAGTTCTGCATTTTTCTAAAACAAATTGCTTGTGCACACAATCAAAATGTAGGGGCTGTGTAGAGAAAATGTGTACAAACGGAATATTCCCAAAGGAAAATGTGTACAACAGCAACATTCAAGCCTTAGTTCCATAGGAAAATGTGTAACTACAAAGTTATAAAAATGCAGGCAGATGTACGTTGATGTACTGTATCATTTGGGGCTTCATGCTGCCTATTGGCAGATGGGGACCAGTAGAGCACACAAGTGGCTAAACAGTTACCTATGCATGCACTTAGTTGTCGTAGGCCCATAGTAAGAGTGTCTTGCTTAATTTTGAACACTTGAATGTATGTTAACATTTGGTGTAGGCATTGTCTTCTACCTCGTCTTGGAATGGAGTTGAGCAATCTTTATTTATGGGATATAGCTTTTCTGGAGTCGGTGATAAAAAGGTTTCCAAATGTCTTTCAAGGTGTTGTCGTGGAAGAGGTTTTTTTTCCTCATGGGAACTGATATTCAATATTTATTCTGTTTTTCAGTTTTAGACCTTTTAGTTAGCGGTGTTCTTTGTGTGTCTTCATTTTTACCATGCATAAACTTAACCAGATAGAGTCCAATGGTTCTTCTACTGCGCTGTCGGAAAATGATGTCATTATTGAATGTGATGGAAAACCTATACAAAATGTTTTGGAGGTATGAATTACACTAAAAGTATGCCATTCACATTTCTATTCAACTGCTAGCAAATAGTCAATTTAATTTTTTCTTGGTTTTCCAATTGCGATCAGTTTTTTGAGTTGATATGGGACAAGGTTGGTTACCCTGTTGATCTGACTGTGCTACGGCCAAGTGATGGGACTCATTTGAATGTAACAATGGTTGTTGGTAATGTTGGCCCGAATGAAACTAATCGGTAAACCTCTTGTGATTAGTTTCTTCACTTCAGAATTAATCGACAGGCATATGATGTTTTCAAATGCAATAGAAGTATGCATGTTTAGTGTTTTATTCATCATCCTTATTTGTTTTCAGATGGCCGTTCCCCAAAAGGAACCTTGGAAGACATAGAAAACTCTGTAATTGATATTGATTGCAGGCACCATTATTCCTCAACCACAAATGTATATTTTTTGAGAGCAAAATTGCTGATTCAGTTAAATAGTTAATTACCTCTACTTATGCGTGTGATCTAGCTCTATCTCTTTGTGGCCCTTCGGAGTATGTGTGTAATTCACTTGTACTACCACTACTAATTATGAGTTGATTGTTCTGCATGTGAGGTCTAAATATTCTACTTTTCTTAAACTCATGTGCCAAAAAATGTATTATGTCTCATTTTATACGTAATTTGATGAAATAATAAATTCAACCATTTGACCGATTTGTAAGCTATTACAACAGGGTTATTTTTTAAAGTAACCTAAAATAGATAAAAAAATCGTCAAAACAGCTGGATCGAGTCTTCTATAGAAGGCGATTAAGCATTGCGTCTTTACATAAGTGTTTATTTCCTTGCGTCTATATAAGGCAATCCAGGCACTCAAGGATGTTTATGCCCATTGGGTCCCTGAAGATTGCATCCTAACTACCAATTTATGGTCTGCTCACTGCTGAGCTATCAGAACTGGCTGCCAATGCATTCCTGGCACAAAGAATATCTCCACTGATGCTTGATGTCCGTGTTGCTGCTTCTGCCGTCATGCCGCTTCCTCGCCTTCCCAACTGCCGTCACAGCACCTGCCGACGTTCGACATTTTGTCTAGATTTAAATATGGTCCTATATTCGTCACTCAAAACTCAAAAGTAATATTTCCGCCATTATTTCCAATTACAATACTGTGTAATGGTAATTAAAATACGGAGTAATAATTATAACCAATCCCACATATAAACTCTATTGCCTTTTTTATTTTATACAAGTACACATTACGTATCATCGTAATAAAATGTTGCATATAATTTTAAAGAATTTTTTATTCTATTCTAGATACAAGGGCGTAGTTAGGGGGAGGCCAACCCTGGTCCCGGTCACTCCAAATTTTGAAAATGACTATATTTTTAATGTAAAAATTCCATATATATTTTCTTTTAGCCCGGCCCAGTGTCCTGGCCTCACCCCTATTTAGATACACTATTCTAGATACACCTGTGCATCGCACAGATACTACGTCTAGTCTGCTTATATAATAAATGTCAACATATATTTGTTTGTGTTATGAAATGAAAGGAAATTAGCAGAAAATTAGAGAGAGATTATATTAAGTATAAAGGTGTTCTTGAGAGAGTATTAAAAGAGTTCTAATGGTGTGTCAATCAATGATAATGTCTCCTATTTATAGGAGAACGTGTGAGCTCAATGAGATTAGGAAATCATTGTGAGCCACACATTTATCACCTTGAATTTATAACTATGATTTCCTAATTATTTAAATAATGGTGATAATAATTCCTAATCAGGAACAGTTAGACGATCAATAAATCAATTATATTTCAAAAGTTTGATCTTTTTTCCATCCATTTTCTACCATTTTGTGCCGACGGAATCATGGAAAGGCTTGAATTTAAGGGATTTGTTTAACGAGGTAACCCTTTGTTGGTGTACACACATTTGTACCCACTTTTGTACATTGCTTGTGTACACAGGCAATTGAGAGACAAATGATGTCATCTTCTTAATGAATTGCCTATGTATACAGGCAAAACAAGGGGTGTGTAAAAAAGTGGGCACAAAAATGAGTACAAACAGCCAGCCTTTTTTTTTTGAAGGAATAGCAAGCCTCTTAAATAAATGAATAATTCTTGGTGTACACCCTGGGTTACACCCTAATTATTTGCTATTCACACAGACAAAAAACGCACAAATACACACACTTTCAGTAACACTGTCGGTGTGAAGAAAATTAGTTTTCAGATCTGCCAGGCTAGTTGCATGAACATCAATGTCGGTGTACACAGACACTAGTTGTCGGTGTAGACAAAAAGTGTCGGTGTGAACAAATTTGGTTTGCAAGTCTGCCAGAGGGTTGGAAAACCAGTGTCGGTGTACACAGACATTAGTTGTCTGTGTAGAAAAAGTCTATATACATGTACAATTTTCGTTTTATGCACACCAACATTGGTTTGCTTTAAGTGTCTGTGCACACAGACGAAAATTGTACATGTACAGACACTTTCTCTACACAGACAACTAATGTCTGTGTACACCGACATTGGTTTTCCAACGCTCTGGTAGAATTGCAAACCAAATTTGTTCACACCGGCACTTTTTTGTCTACACCGACAACTGGTGTATGTGCACACCGACAACTAGTGTATGTGCACACCGACAACTAGTGTCTGTGCACACCGACAACTAGTGTCTGTGTACACCGACAACTAGTGTCTCTGTACACTGGCATTGATTTCCGCGCAACCAGCCTGACAGATATGAAAACTAATTTTCTTCACATTGACAGTTTTACCAAAAGTGTCTGTATTTGTGCGTTTTTTTGTCTGTGTGAATGACAAATAATTAGGGTGTAACCCAGGGTGTACACCAAGAATTTTCCTCATCCGCTACTTCTCATGGGCTGCATTTAGTACATTTAAACAATTTCGTTGTCTTTGAATATTAAAATTTCGAAACTGTAACTGTTACTTCTCCACCATCAATACATTTAAGTAGGCTTCAACCAAACCATCACTTCTAGCCTAGCTGGTTGTGAGGTTATCCTTGCATAGGAGAGGTCTCATGTTCGAGTCTCACTAGCACCAGTGGACCTATGCTCCCCAAAAAACCCTTCAAGTGGTAGGGCCAAGCGGTGTATACTAACCCGTAGGGCCAAACCAAAGTTGGGTTTCTGGGGTAAGGAGCCGTGAAAGCGGTGGAGCTAGTCGCTATAAAAAGTTTACCCACACCTTAGTTTTTAACCATCACTTCCAGCCTAGCTGGTTGTGAGGTTATCCTTGCATAGGAGAGGTCTCGTGTTCGAGTCCCACTAACACTAGTGAAACTATGCTCCCCCAAAAAACCCTTCAAGTGGCAGGGCCAAGCGGTGTATACTAACCCGTAGGGCCAAGCCAAAGTTGAGTTTCTGGGGTAAGGGGTCGTGAAAGCGGTGGAGCTAGTCACTATAAAAAGTTTACCCATACCTTAGTTTACCGGTGGACGTAGCTCAACTGGCAGCGAGGGAGTGCCACAAGGGTTAGGTCTCGGGTTCGAATCCCGGCAACTGCGATGAGGGGTTACTATGCTGAAAAATGCATAGGGCTTCTGCAAGTACCGGGGACAGAGCCCCACTCTCTATCTGTCAGATTGTAATTATAGTCCAATTTACATCCTCCCATTGTGTTGTCCGGTCGGTGTTGGGGGGGCCTCAGGAATGGGGTGTCATTTTTTTTTTTTAAAAGTAGGCTTCAACCAAGAATTCTGCTTATTCTTGCAACTTTTACACACACAATTGCCATTCAGTTTAGGAAAACAGATTTGCTTGTTGTTGTATTTCTGAATCATTCATTACATACATACATATGAAGCGGTAAATCATTCCAAATATGCACACAAACAATGCCCTCAAGCAACGCCTACATACTTACATAGTGTTCGCTAAAATGCCTCTTACAAAACATCTATTTTTGTAGTGCTCATATACACCACCTAACTGTAATTCTATTATTTTTAAGTACCCCATGCCAATTGCTGGCAATGAAAACTATAATATTTACAGCATACTACTTTCAAAAAATTATACTACTACAAATAGGAAAGAGACTTATTTACACAAACTTAGAGGGTGTTTGGATCTGATTCTCAAAACTGATTCTGCTCCTGAAGGAGCAGAAGCAGAAGCTGGAGTGTTTGGGTGAAATTCCAGAAGCACTTCTGGAGCTCTAATTTACTCTCTGAATCAGTTTTTTAGAAGCTGGGGGTACCAGCCCTGAAAACTGATTCTGATTCTGCTTCTGCTTTTAAAAAAGAAGCAGAAGCAGAATCAGTTCCAAACACCCCCTTATTGTGGAGCGCTAGTGATGGATCCGGGCCGGGCTAAGGCCCGGTCGGGCCTTGGGTCTGGTAATGGTAGGCACGGGACCGGCCCGGGCAATGGCCGGTTTCGGTTCGGGCCGGGCCACCCGCCCGGGTCACGGGTCGGGCCACCCGTCGGGCCGGGCCGGGCCAGTATTTTTTTTAAATTAATTATATATTATACAAATTCCTATTAAAAACAAAGTTCAAGTGCATTTATTTGAAATAAGAACTACATTTGAGAATTGAGAAAAAAATAACAATACGAAATACATTTTCTAATGAATATCAATTGGGATTTCCGCCACCGTTGGTTGTTGTTTTCCCTTTGTCACAGGACTTAATATGTTTTATTGGCATCCTGTATCCGTATGAACGTCCCAAGCAACACTCTTTCTTGCACCACCTGCAAGTTGCCCACCACAGTCCGGTCTTCGGGTCCTTCCACTTGTCAAAATTGTTTTGCATAAGGGAAGATGTACTTTCCATATTTAAAATGGTATATGTATAAGTAGGATTGTAGGAATGTAGGATAATAAGAGAAGATGAAGATGGAGAAGAGTTGGAGAAGAATTGGAGAAGAGGTGTAGAAAAATGTTAGAAAATAGATGTATTTATAGATGTTTTTGAACCCCACTCCCCACACGACCACCCCCGGGACCTCCCTGCCCCCCACCCATAGCCCCAACGGCTATATAGCCGTTTGGGAGGTTTGATTTCAATTTTTTTTAAAGTTATACATATTGTAAAATAAATTAATTAATTTAATGAATTAAGTAAAACTAAAACTATTTGTACTTAGAAAAGTGGTTTGATTTATAATTTACAAATGTTACAAAATAGGTGTATAAGTATTTAAACAAATTACATATTGTAAATGTATTTTTAATTTAAAAACCGGCTTTATATTTTAGAAAAATAATTTTAAGTCGTTAGTTTGTAACCAATTAATTAATTTGAGAAGTGCTACATATGAAAAAGTGAACGCATATTTATTTGAAATATGAAGTACAAGTTTACAAATTATTTTGAAGTACAACTACAAATTTACAATTTTGAAATATGATGTACAAGTTTACAATTTTGAAATATGAAGTACAAGTATAAATAATTTTGACAAGTGCTACAAAATACATTTTATAATAAATTCTAAAATACTAATCAATCGGAATCTCCGGCATAGGTAGAGCCACCATCGGTTGTTGAGTCATCCATAAAATCTTGGGAGGGGGTGATGCTCATTTCTTGAGTTCTACTTGCGGCCTTCAACCAATCGTG